CCCTGCCAGGGGCAAGGACACCTTCCACTAGACCAGCTTGCTCCAAGTCCCATCCAACCTGGCCTTGAACACTTCCAGGGATGGAACTTCTCTGGACAACCTGGATATGTGTATGTGTATACTTTTAACCTGCTGAGGAGTTTCTGGGGTATCAGGAGCCGGCATGAACACCAGCTTGGCAGTCCTGTGATGAGGAACTGGATAATAAGGACTAGCAGAGGCAGAGCTTACAAGGGTTCGGGTCATTTCCCGGAGAGAGGGTGTTGTAGGCTAAACCAAAGTTACTTCTGAATGTTTAGCTTCTGAATGGTCTTTTTCTTCTGACTGTAGCTCACTAATAATGTAATTAGAAAAAGAACTTGTGTGGCTTTGTCTTGTGTTTCTGCTGCGTCCAGTTGCAACAGAGGGCTTCCCAAGGGGGGAAAAAAGTTTCTGCATAAAACAAAAGCATCTGTTCTTATTTCAAACACGGCACACTGTATATTTTTTTTTTTTTCAATCAAGAGCTTTGTATCGTTTTGAAGGGATTAATTTAACTTCACTCCAAAGCACTGATCCCACAACAAGCCTTTCAGCACTGTTTGTTTGTGGTGCAGTGAGTGTGACACGTTGTCCCCACAGGTTATGGCATCATGACAGACGGTTACACGACGTACATCAATGCTTCCACGTGTACAGTCAGCTTCCAACCAACCAACCCTCCAATTATATTCGACCTTCCGACCCCGCAAGGATCCTGAAGCACTACTGCACATTTGGAACTGGGGAAGGTCTATAAACTGCCATTTTCTAATTATAAAACATTCAGTTACATGTTTATTTCGAAAGAGGGGCTGGGGGAGGTGGGGGGCGGGATTTTGGGGGAACCGTGGGGGTTTTTGTTTTTGGGGTGGGCTTTGGGGTTTGGTTTTTTTGTTTGTTTTTTTTTTTTTTTTTTTGTAAATTGCTGGTGCAAAACAAACAAGGAGAAAAGTTAGAGGTTGTGCTTTTTGGAAATGCAGCATTCATTTTAAATCGATAAAGCATTGTGAATTTGTAAAATGAATTTTGTTTTTCAATAAATTTGCCATTGTAAATTGTTATAGTGTTCTCAAAAGGACAGCCAAGCTTTCTTTTAGTAAGTGAGAGACCTTATTTTAATATTATATTATAAGCTAAAAAATAGGCAGCATTTAAAAACACCCAAATTTGCACAACTTATGTTATTGTCGAGGGTTTTTTAAGTGTCTTCTTTTTCCCTAGGTCTAAATGTTAGCTTTTTATCTCCATTTATATCAATTTTTTTTAGTAGCACAAACAATATTTTGGGGTCCATTTACCTCTTGATATGTGTGCATGTACTTAAACTTGTTTCTGTTCACAGTAGAATGCAGCAAGGGGAGAATAGACCTCTCAGTTGTTTGTCTCTACCTGCTTTATAAAGACTGATCTAGATAGCCACAGCCTGTATGTGATATCTACCTTCTGTTGTTTCTTTTTTAAATTATTTTAGCTTTAAAAGACTGGGGGTGAAAGCTGCAAAGAGCAGGTATTTCATGCAGTAAAAAAAAAAAAAATGTAAATGCGGACTCCTTTTAAATATGAATTTATATATATATGTATTTTTTGTGCATTATAACTAAGCTAGGATTTAATATTGCCAGTATAGCATCTGCAAAATTATGCTGTACAGCACATCTAAATTATGAAGGATGTGACACATTTTTCCAAGTGCTCAAGGCCTTCAAGAGCCCGAGTTAAATCTTTGTTGTAGTTCAGGCATGTATAGAGTCAAATGGATACAATCAAGCCTAAATAAAATAAGGCTTAGTTGTCCTTTATATTTAAATATTCTTCTTGTCTTTTTTTATTTCCTTTTTCTTATTTTGCACTGTGTGTAAATGCAATCTCGCTAGCACAAAATATTGTTGCAGATAGTTATTTCTGTTCCACCACTGTAAATGCTATTGAGCTTTGTTCTGTTTTATGTTACCTTGTTAATGGAATTTAGAAAAGCGGTTGTTTCTTTAAATTTATTGTGATATTATATCTAGCGGCCTTTATATGCAAATAAAATTGCAAGATTTTTAAATACGTGGCCCAAGGGAATTTTTGTGGTTTTCTGTGGCCTAAACAACTGGGGGGAGCGATGATGGGGGTAAGGAAGAAGTTTTCTGTTTCCCGATACATTTTTGTTCGTGCCATTCACAGGATGTCAGTTGGGTCGATGAGGCACTCAGACTTTTCCTTCCATTTCTCTGCCATCCATCCCTCTCTCCATTCCTTTTAGACAGAAGGGATTTTGCCTTTAGATGTGGTAGTTCAGCGCAACCAAGTTTGTGCCTTAAGCCTTGTGGGACACTATTCCAAATGACACGAAGAAGAATTGATTAGGCAGCAACCTTTCTGCTTCCTCACTTGGTCGTTAGTACCAACCTGCAGGTGTCTTATGCTCATCCACTCTGGGTTAAGAAATGAATAGTCAATAGGTGAAATATATCACTTTTTATCTGGATCTCTTGTCATTTTTGTGGCTACGGCGGGATCTGCCACCGGCAGGGGAATCGCTGGGGAGTGGGATTCAGTGTGTGCCCATGGAATGACAAACACAGCAGGACCTGCTGGTATTGCTGCACACAGTTACGTGTATAACAGCAGAACCCTGTTCCAAAATAGAATTATGGCTGCGAAAATCCGGTTTTAAGCATGAGAAGATAAGGCACAGTTTTCGTGATTCTGCATCTGCAATAACGTCAACAGGGCCTGGAGAGACACAGTGTGTTCACATTTATCTTAGCAGGTTGTTAACTTTTGACATTGTTTTCATACAAAGGTTATAGAAAACCAAATTCTAGGCCCTTACAGCAGAGTACAGCCTAGAGTGCTGCTCTGTGTTTTGATGCAACGTGCATTCCACATAGCTGTGGAGCTGGCTGAAATTTTCAGATTTATAGGGCTGCTATACCAAAGTCTTTTCTGGGAAAGAAGCTGTCATACCTCTTAAATCTAGTTCTTGTTTTGCATGTGGAATTTCTTGTCAGGTTTCCTTATGAAATATATAGGTACCTTCACTCTTTAATGATATCTGCCTTGCTTTGCTTGCAGTGCTAGTTATTTTATCAGCGGAGGCAAAGGGAAAAGGTCATATTATGTGTATATATATATATATATATGTATATATATATCAGTCCTTACTTTTGGATGTAGGTGCAGGATATGTCTTGTGGGCTTTCTTCAGCTAGCAGTAGGAAAATTGTGGAATTGTTTTTGGCAACCAGCTGTTTACTGGCAAAGAGCATGGCTGTCCATTCGAGATGGCTGTCCTTTCTTGGAAAAAGCATTTTCTTGGAGTACACAGAAATTATATATGTAGCACACAGATTACTCTGTTTCACTCTGTTGCTCATTGCCACTGCCCAAGAAGGAAATATCCATAGCCTAGGGTGTTTTGTAGTGCCATGAGCTTTCAGACGAGCAGAGAAGAGTCACCACACCTGTATTGCTCTCCAGCCTTCTGAAGGACCTGACACCTCTTCACCAGCGACAGCAGGTACAGCACCAGTCTGTCATGTATCTGCCTCTAATGAAAACTGGGTTATTCCAAAAGCAAAAGTTTCCAGCCAGCAGCTTTTTTCCAGGATTTGAGCAGCCTGAAGCCTCCTGGCAGCGGGCACGAGGAAATGGTTGCACAAGTTCAGCCTGGAGTCTGCCTTGGGTGAGACTGGTAGTGAGAAAATACCAGAAGCAGTGCTGTGGAGAAGCAAGTCTGTACCAATAAACCATAAGCTGGTACCTGTAGCCATAAATGTCCTAAAGGTGTGTGTCTTTTGGTTTCAGCTCTTTGCCATACGGTTTTTCGGCTGTGTGGTGCAGCAGGTGTGTTACCAAGTGGTTCTGCACTGGGATAAAAAGGCCTGGATTTGTAACAACTTCCTACTTCCATTTAGAGCCCATCAAGGGCAGTCACTGCTTTGTCATCAGCTGATGTTGGTGCTGAATACAGCTGTTAATTTACAGAAGTAAATCTTCAGGGGTGCTTTCTAACTGTGTGTTTTCTCTTGGTACTTTTTTTCTCTCGGGTTCTGTCAGCCTCACCTTGCATACCACTGCTAATTCAGGACTGAGCTTTTCTTTTCCATGCCAGGATCTTTTAAATCTTATTCCCTCAGTTTTCCTTTGTCCTTTCAGAAATTGATCTAGCTTTTCCTCTTCTGAGAAAGCTATCATTTTGGCTAGCAGCAATTACAAAAAGGCCAGGAAAACATTAGCAGCTTGGCATTTTTCTTTTTGTACTCCTTAGAGATTTTGAAATGTCTATCTGTGCTGTCACAGGCAGGTAATTTTCCTTTGCTGGATGTCAGCCATATCTGACAATCAGGGTAAATGGGATACAGTATGATTTGAAGAAGTTTGATTTCACAGGGAGGCAGAAGTGTGCGATGAATCTGCTTCTTTTCAAGGATCTTTCACTGCTAAAAGTAGCTCGATACATGTATGCAGAATAAATCTGGGATGATAAGTCTTTCTTCAGGGTCTGGTCCAAGCCCATTGAACTCACCAGGAGTCTTTCTATTCGCTTCAGCTGGCTCTGGATCAGACTCCTGGCATCTGTCGGGACTGTGTTTCTGTCTGTTACTCATCCTTCAAACTGGAGGAGATGGTCCCTGGTTAACATGCAAGAACCTCTTGGCAGGAAGAGGGACCTACCTATTGTAAGTGCTGAATCTTTCCAAGTGATTGATTAACAGCAGTGTAGTCGATTAACCTTTCTTCTTCTGAGAGCAGCTTTCATCCAGTCATCTCGATAAGGCTGAAAGCAGTCAAGGCCTTTATCAGGGGAGGGCTGCGGAACAGGATGTTCCCCAGAGGTGATTGGTTCCCAATTCTCTCTGCATAGTGAATTTAGTGAATTCAGCAGACCTTGAGGTCAAGCATTTATTAGGCTAAGAGACTGTCAAATCAATCTGGTCTACTCCAGGCAAGTTCTACCAGGAGAATGGGTTTTGCCAAGACTCTGTCTAAGAAGCAGATTGATGACTGACTCCTGGTTGAAGCTGCCTTTCTCTTTTCCATTTTCCGTGAATCAGAGTTTTTCCCCTCACTGACACCAATATTTTCTCCCTGGACAAATTTTATTAAGGAAACTCCTGGAAACCATCTGTAATTTAAGTCACAGGGAGGCTTCCAAACTCTGTAGTGCTTCCATTCTGTGTTACATTGACCCTAGAGCTTTCTTTGAGGCCTTGGGTTTTGACCACGTGCATTTGAATTACGTTTCTGGAATTTTCTTTTCACCCTTTCTCTCCCTGCACCCCCCCCTTCCTTTTTTAAACTTGATATTCTCTAGCAGTTATAGACCGGCAGGGTTCCTGATTTTCTCTGCCTAAACATGATAGCTTCTGATTGTGAGGAGAAATGCATTGTAAAAGCAGTGTGTTTTCTTTCCTCTGTTTCGATACTGATTCTAATTTCCTTGCAGATTCCCCATTTGCAGTAAGCAGTCTGCTGTGCACTATCATCAGCTCATTTACATCAGCTCCTCAGATAAAATCATGTTATGATCAGGCTTGGACAGCTATGTTGGCTGCCAGAGGACACCCTCTGCACTTCTGCAGGCAGGGCCCAGCCGCTGGAGCACTGCCTGACCTGCAGAGGCACAAAGAAAGGAGCTCTAACAAATGAGTGCAGCCTAAGTGCAACACGGGAGACTAAAGTCGGGTTTTAACATTTTCATCTTCAGTTCCTGTCAGCCTAATCAAGAGAAAATGCAAGAGAAGTCTGAGTGAGCTTAGTGCTCTAAATCGGTTTTCAGCCATCCCTAT